ATATATATATTATTAGGTTTAAAAAATTAATAATAAATGATTAAGAAGCCCAAGTTTTATAAAATAAAAAGACCCAAGATTTACAAAATAAAGGGGCCCAATCCATATCTCTATCCATGGCATCAATCTTAATCCAGAATTCCAGATCCAGATCAATCGGCGACTAGTCTAGAGCAATAACCGAGAGCGAGAAATCTAAGAACGAATGATTGAGAGGAGCGATAATCGAGAACGAGAGTCGAGAGCGAGACTAGAGCCGACGGTTCATCTCCGAGCGATTCGATTCCAACAATCCAACGGTAACTCGGCAATGGCAAGCGGCTCAACGGGCGATTTCAGAATGAAGTTTCCTATGCGTCGCTGATTTAAAGTTAAATTCCACATCTATGTTTAATGTGTTACTAATAATTGTTAATTTGTTATGATTTTGGGTTCACTGTTTCTCAATTCTCACTGTTCTGTTCTGAATTCAAGTTCAAGATTTATTTCAATTGTTCAAGTTCATCATCAGTCAAGTGGTGGGTTTAGGGCAACAACAAAAAGGTACCTATTTTCAATTTATGTGTATAATTTCTATTTATGTTGTTCAAGGTCATCAATCATCATTATTTCTATTTGTTGTTCAATTTCTTGTATAAAATCTTATCCAACCACAATCCATCGCACATTTTGTATTCCAGCTTTTTGGGTTTAGGGTCATGTTAATATGTTAGTGTACTGATTTGATGTTAAAATGTTGTTGAATTTTGGTGTTTGATTGAACCGTTTGTAGTGTACTGTTTGGTTCTAGAGTAATTTTGGTTCACTGCCAAACTCTTTTGAACATAGGTTTAGTCCATTTGAATTTTGTGTCTTGTGGCTGTTTAAAACTTGGATCCCACATTCCCACTAAGTGCTTTAAAATCCTTAGAGGTCACACCCACGGGCCTTAGAATCTTCCCTTACCATATGCGGAGTTTGTTTTGTGTGAACCCTGTTTTTTGCCGAGATCTTTTCGGTATTGGGGAAAAAATCCACCTAATGAGTGCGGAAACTGACTAATTAGAATTTGGATCAAAGGTGTTGATTACCACTATTAAATAATCTCTTTAGAGTAGTCATTGTGCTATAGTTAAACCATAATGTAAATTAACTCATGAAATATGATATGAGGAAAACACTTGGTTATATTTTGTCTATATTTTCCGCAAACACCCTTATATGATTGACTTATTTGCTTACTAATTGCGTTTCAACCATTTTGAATGGTAGACTACAATTTATTGAAAAAAGAAGTTGACTTCTTCATTCTTCAGTATTTCATAATCCAAACTCAGATTCAACCACTCAGCCACTCAGGTGCCTTTGTTCATCTTTATATTGACTTTGTTGAATTGTTGTTTGTGTTAAATATTGATCATGTTGTCTAAAAAGTATAAGTATTTATCTGGAAGTGAGAAAAGGAAAAAAAGGAAGTTAGTTGAACCAGACCCGTTTTTGACATTTTTTGGGCCCTGGGCGATTTGTGAATTTTGGGCCCTCTACATGTACAAAAAAATCTTAAATAAATGTTTTTAATCATTAAAAAAAACAAACTTTCATACAATAATACTAATAATTTATACAAAACAACTTCTTCAAGTATTTCGGATACAAAATCATCAATAATAGCATCTAATTCATACAAAACAACTTCTTC